CGGGCATAAGTCCTTATTCCAGAACACTGTTCCGGAAAAGCCATTTTCGCGATCGGGGCTTTTTTCCAGAAAAGACTACTGGGCTGTCTTTACTGGCCCTTTTCCGGAACAGTGTTCTGGAATAAGGACTTATGCCCAAGCAGGAGCAGAATAGTTTTTCTGGAATAGCGGCTGATTTTGTACAGTAGAGCATCGTTGCTTTTCCGGAAATTCAAGGGCCAGTGTAGACAGCTCGCAGCTTATTCCGGAAAAGCGGTTGATTTTCTGGAATAAGTGGCCCAGTGTAGACACAGCCTTTGAGTTTTTGGTTAGCTGTTCTTCAAACTCCTTTTTGGCTTTCTTATTATATTTTTACACTGTTTATGGTCCTTTCTATTTGACTTCCATTTTATAAAAGATATCTTTGTGTCTGTCACTGCTTCTTTTATCTGGTTAAGCCAAGCCACAGTGGCACTTTTTTAGTTCTCTTACTGTGTTTTTTAATTTGGAGTATACATTTAAGTTGGGCCTCTATTATGGTGTCTAGACCTTTAATTATTTTTGTTGCTCTTCGCTGGACCTTCTCCAAATCTTTCTTGAAATGTGGTGCCCAGAATTGGACACAATATTCCAATTGAGGCCTAAACAGTGCAGAGTAGAGCGGAAGAATGACTTCTCGTGTCTTGCTCACAACACTCCTGTTAATGCACCCCAAAATCATAACTGCTTTTTTTTTTTTTTTGCACAGCAGTATCAGACTGTTGACTCCTATTTAGCTTGTGGTCCATTCTGACCCCTAGATCCCTTGCTGCAGTACTCCTTCCTAGATACTTACTTCCCATTCTATATGGGTATGTCTAAACTACATTCCTCTGAAAGAGGGATTTAAATTAGGCAAATCAAAAGTGCAAATGAAGCGGGGATTTAAATATCCCACATTTCATTTGCACAATTGTGTCACAGCGGTCTTTCGAAAAAGGGTATTTTGAAAGTGAAACCGCAGTCTAGATGCGGTTCTTTCGGGAAAAAAAAAACTTTTTCGAAAGATCCCATACTCATTTTTTTAGAAGTACGGGATCTTTCAAAAAAGGGTTTTTTTCCCCAAAAGAACCGTGTCTAGACTGCAGTTTCATTTTCGAAATACTCTTTTTCGAAAGACCGCTGTGACGCGATTATGCAAATGAAACATGGGATATTTAAATCCCTGCTTCACTTGCACTTTCCATTTGCCTAATTTACATCCCTCTTTTGACAGAGGGATGTAGTTTAGACATACCCTGTGTGAAACTGATTGTTCCTTTCTAAGTGGAGTACTTTGCATTTGTCCTGATTAAACTTCTTCCTATTTACCCCAGACTAGATCATTTTGAATTATGACCCTATCCTCCAAAGCACTTGCAATCCCTCCCAGCTTGGTATCATCTGCAAGCTTAATAAGCGTACTCTCTATACCATCATCTAAATTGTTGATGAAGTTATTGAACAGAACTGGTCCCAAAACAGACCCCTGTGGAATCCCACTTGTTACGCCCTTCCAGCATGACTGTGAACCACTAAACAATTACTCTCTGAGAATGGTGATCCAGACAGTTATGCACCCACCTTATAGTAGCCCCATCTAAGTTGTATTTGACTAGTTTATTGATAAGAAGATCATGCGAGACCGTATCAAATGCCTTACTAAAGACTAGGTATATCAAGTCCACCGCTTATCCCTTATCCACAAGACTTGTTATCCTATTAAAGAAAGCTATCGGATTGGTTTGACATGATTTGTTCTTTACAAATCCATGCTGGCTGTTATCTATCACCTTATTTTCTTCCAGATGTTTGCAGATGAATTCCTTAATTATCTGCTCCATTATCTTCCCTGGCACAGAAGTTAAACCGACTGGTCTGTAGTTTCCTAGGTTGTTCCTATTTTACTTTTTATAGATGGGCCCTAGATTTGCCCTTTTCCAGCCTTCTGGAATCTCTCCTGACTTCCATGACTTTTCAAAGATGATAGCTAAAGGCTCAGATACCTCTTCTATCAGCTCTTTGAGTATTCTAGGATGCATTTCATCAGGCCCGAGACTTGAAGACATCTCACTTTTCTAGGTAATTTTTGAGTTGGTCTTTTTAAAATTTTATCTTCTAAACCTACCCCATTTCCCCTAGCATTCACTATGTTCTGCATCCCTTCATCATCAAACTGCTTGGTGAAGACAGAAACAAAGAAGTTGTTGTTATGGTTTGAGAGAGGGCATTTCACACAAGAGAAAAGTATGGAAGCAACCATAAAGTTATTCATAGTAGAAACAAAGAAGCAAGCCACTTAAGATTTGACTCCTATTTATGAGAGTTTTCAGAAAACAAAAATTTAAGAGGTTTTTAAGAGCTGCTCAGCTGGAAATCCTTGAAGAATGGGAAACAGCTACCTTCTCTCTCCCACCAAATTACAACTCTCTAAGGAACTGTGGTGCTAGATAGGCTCATGCTCCCTGTTACTCTTGTCCCTGAAATTCCTTAGCACCCACATACATTAGTGTTGTGGGCCATGAGCGCTGAGTAGCTGCAGAGATAGGAGAAGTGGGGCTGGCATAGGAGTGGAGTAAAGCAGAGATGAATCAGATGCCCTGCTCTCAAATACACATCATTTACCTTTCTCCTCTGTGGCTTGCCATGAACGCGCCGGCAGGTAGTTAAATGGGGTTGAAGCAAGGTGTGTAGCACGGGCAAAATCTCTTGTGCTGTTGGGACTGGGCGCCAATGTTTTATTATTACAGTGCCGAGCCCACACTGTGTAGTCATCCATCATGAGCTCTGCTGCCCGAGTTCCTTCCTACGCAGAAGAATTAAGCAGTGTTCATCAGGGAGCTAACAGTAAATCTGGGATAACTGCAGTTCATGCCTGACCTCATGGTACTTTTCTAGCCAATGGTGATCAATACCCTCAAGCTGTCGGCAGAGGGGTGCAGATTAGGCAGGTCGACATTGCAAATTAGGCAGAGATTCAAATATCCTGTGCCTAATTTGCATAAAAATGGCCACCACGTTTTTGCCGACTCAGCACTTTGTTGGCAAAAAGCAGCAATCTAGTGGGGATCTGTCGAAAAAGAAAGCCTTTTTCAACAGATCCCTTATGTCTGAAAAGAAAGGCTTTCTTTCTCGACAGATCCCCCTGTAGACTGCTGCTTTTTGCCGACAAAGTGCCGAGTCAGCAAAAACACGGTGGCCATTTTATGCAAATTAGGCACAGGATATTTGAATCTCTGCCTAATTTGCAATGTCGACCTGCCTAATCTGCACCCCTCTGCCGACAGCGGGATGCAGTCTAGACATACTCAATATGTTGACACAAATGAGAGAACCAATGTATTCTGGTCCAATCTCCTCCAGACAGAATTAGTCTCCCCTTTTCTAGCAAAGCTTAACCTATAAGCCCAGCCCAGAGGCTAAGGAGCAGGACCAGCAAGGCATTGCAGTCACTCAGACCACTCTAGTCACTGGAGTGCTGAAGCAACCTCTTCCGCCTCCCCACTCACACAACTACTCATTACGTTCACATGCAAACGCATGCTCCGCTCCCAAGCGCCCAGGGAGCAAAGCTCAGTTCTGCCAGGAACAAACTTGTCTCCTCTGATGAATTGTGTTGGTCTTGGGGACAGCTGGGGAAGACGGAAGGGGAAACGAAGAAGAAAAGAGAGGAGCAGAGAAGAGCTGCCAAGAATGCCTGAAGATCACCAGCCCTCTCCCCAGAAGCTCAGGGCGGATCTGCGCAGTGAGCTGCTACTGATGCGGCCAAGGCAGCAGACTGGTGAAACGTATGAGACCGTTGTCTGTGCACCAAGAATTCTGACCAATAAGCTCCTGTGCGATGGGTCAGGTAGGCAGATTCGCCCAGCACTGGCCATCAGATCTCTGGCATATCTAGTCCAGTATTCTGAGAGCAGCCAGCCCACAAGGAAGACAGAAATATGAAGACTCACAATATGAAGATAGGAAGATACAAAAGAGCTTGTTCTAGACATTAAGCTGCCCGTGTGGGTGAGGAAGAAACCCACCAGTGAACACCTTACACTCAGAAGCATGAAGTTTAGTTTCTTTGGTTATCATAGCACATGGAGCCACGCCTCCTTTGGAATCCCACTAAACACTCTCTCCCCTTTTTAATCCAAGAATGTTTACATTTCCTCATTCTCTCAAGCAGGGTTTCCATGCCTCTGGGTCACTTCTGCAGGCAGTTTTTCAGGCCAGGAAAACACCTTCAAAGTCAAAGTAGGTCTTCAATGACTAACGTAAATCAGGAGGGCTTCTGCCAGGCGACAGTGGACATTGACCAGCTTGGGGGATCCTTTGGCCTCCAATTCCCATTTCCAGCCATATGTTTAGACCTGGCAATACTTGAGCCATGGGTTACCACGGCTTCCCATTTCTAAAAACGTATCAGTAGAAGGAAGTTGTGTTTATGCGATGGGGAAGTCACACTATTCAGAGACATAGCCAAGGCATTCAAGGTTTTGCAAATGTCCAGTGATTTGCCTCTGACATTTCTAGGACACAAAACTTAATATGCCAGGAATTCTTTGTGCAGATACAAATTAGCAATTTTACAATGCTGGAACAGAAATGCAAATCACTACAGGTTAGCACTGAAGGGAACCACTTCAAGGTCCTCCAATTCCACAATACCTTACTAGGCTAAGCTTTGCTAAAGAGAAGCACACACTTACTTTTGATCGCTCATCACGCCTGAACAAGGGCTGTTCTCCAAAGGCTCTGACCTGAGCAAGCTTGGTTTTTTGCTCTGGAAACCTAAGAGAAACTGCTGTTTAGAAGTTGTTTTAGCAGAACAAGCTACACAAAAGTTAAGAGGCCAGGGCTGAAACTTGGTCAGCAAAAGTTATAGCTTCAGAATGTAAGCTGCTCATTTACCAGGCAAGCCACACAAGAACCATGATCACAGTAAGTTTGCTCAGCCATTTCATGGAGAAGCCGCCAAGACACGGGATATAAGCAACTAGTCGACAATCCGATAAGCATGAGCTTATCAGACAGTCGACTAGTGATGTGACTAGTCGCTTCTCCCCCTTACTACCTCTATCAGGGTATGTCTACACTACCACCCTAGTTTGAACTAGGTTGGTTAATGTAGTCAATCGAAGTTGCAAATGAATCCCGGGATTTAAATATCCCGGGCTTCATTTGCATCTTGCCGGGTGCCATCATTTTTACATCCCCGGTAGTTCGGACTCCGTGCTCGCGGCTACATGCGGCACGGAGTAGGTAGTTCGAATTAGGCTAATTCGAACTACCGTTACTCCTCGTGGAACTTCGATTTGCAACTTCGATTGACTACATTAACCACTCTAGTTCGAACTATGGTGGTAATGTAGCCATACCCTCAGAGAGAGGCAGCGGGGGGAGGTGAGGCAAGAGCCAGCGCTGGTGGGGAGCCCACGGGGCTTTTGTACATTTCAAAGGCTCAGGCGCCACAAAGAGCATGGGGCCAGCGAAAAGTCCCTCACTGGTCACGCTCTCCCTGCAGGGCTTCCTTTTGAAATGTACGGGGCTTCCACTTTTGAATTTTAGCAGATTGGTGCCCGTATAGACTAATCAAATAGTTGATGGAAATCCCATCAACTATTCGATTAGTTAATTAATCTAAATATAACATCCCTAGCCAAGACCATCTCATTTTCAATTTCCCCAATCTTTGGTGACCTGATTTCCTCTCTATATATCCTAAAGTGAAGATCTAAACCAAAGGTGGGCAATAACATGGCGGCGGCTCGTCAGGGTTAACCCTGGGCAGGCCACCGCCACCGTATTTACCTATACAGCCTCAAGTACCAGCGATTGCAGCTCCCATTGGCCACTGATCGCCGTTCTTGGCCCAGGGGAGCATTGGGAAGTGATGTGGACCAGGACACTACTCCATGCAGCTACCACTGGCCGGGCATGGCGATCCGCAGCCAACGGGCCTGCCAGGAGCTAACCTTGGTGGACCAGATCCAGCCCGTGGGCCAGTGTTTGTCCACCTCTGCTCTCAATTAACTGATCATGCAGACGCAGTCATAGCAGCACTATATGGACTATATATCTTAGTGACAAGAGATCCAAGTTGTGACTAGCTTCTCTTTACCTGTTTTCTTTCTCGTTCCCATCTTCAAAAATGGAAAAAGCAGGTTCAACAGGAGCAGTGGTTTCATTAGTTTTCATGCTTTTACCAGGTTCTAAAATACAAAGAAAGAATTACGTTAATATTGTCTCTGGTTTACCTTAAAAGCACCATAATAAATGGCTACATCCTCATCCCTACAGGCAGAGAACTGACGGGAATGGAAATGCAGCTACTCCAGGATAAAGCGTGTTCCAGTAGTGTATTACAGATGCACACTGGAGGCAGAAGACTCATCTCAGTCCCAGGGTAGGGATGGAGTGAAAGGGAGTCTTTCACAGCCTGAGTCAGCTGTTATTAGCCAAGCAAGGGAAAGACCTGATGGATTCTAAAGACGATCCAAATCTGATGTAAGAAAGTGAAAGCTAACAGGTCACCAAGGGATTGAGGTAGAAGAAAAAAAGTGAAAGGAGACATGGTCCTGCCTCCTCACATCTCAGCTATCCACCAGAAGTCTACTCAGAGTTTGCACCCAGTAGAACAAATCAGTATAATCCTTGACTCCAAGAGTTTATTAATGGAGCTTCCTCCACTCCAAAGCCACAAATAGGGGCTTACTGTGCAGAGAACTGAACCCTACTAGGAATCGAGAGCATGCTGGCTCAGGTGTACAGTACAGGAATAAATCAGTCTTCACACCAATCTCAGCATGCCAATGCATTGTGCTACTGATAAACTGCCAGGTCGGCTGGATAGTTACTGAAGGCTAGTAGTTAGGATATTATCATTGGGTGAAGAGCACTATACATATAGTTCAGACATGGCTCTTCCCTGACCCAGCACAAAAATGCTATCCTGACTTGCACATGAACTTCAGGGTAATGAGAGGAGGAAGAATTATGGTAAGGCAGACCTCTTTTCAGACTGAAATTCTGCAGATCAGTACACAGTATTAACTAGGTTTTTTCTGGAATCGTGTTTCAGGTGCCCAGAGAAATTATTATAAAGAAGCAACAGTTTCCTTAATCCCAACTTAATGCAAACTTTTCCACAGCATTTTGAAGGCAACAGAAGAATGCTTTTATTTTTCCTAATAATTTGCACAAAAATGTAGAGCCTTCCAATAAATCATATTTCTGATATGAAATTTTGCGAGAATAAGTGTCTTCTATTTTTCAGGACTGTTCTCATCCTGCACCAAAACTAAAGAGAGGTCATAAACATTTTTTTGATTGCAGCTGTGATTGTGGATGAAAATCCCATTTAAACATACCGCTTTTTCTACAATTGGCCTCAAATTTCTCATTTTCTTGAAGAGAAGACATTTCAGGCAGGATAGGTGTCTGAAATACATCCATTAAAAATCCTAACAAGAGAAAAAAACCCATCAAAACACAGTTGTAGAAGCACCTTTCAGAACTGATAATAGGAACAAAACAACAAATAATAGAAACAAGAGTGGACTTTTGTACCTTATTTCATACCATGAAGTTAGTGTTTTAATGAGGCGTAAAGTGTAAAATAGTTTTCTTAGTGGATCCCTCTAATACCTGCAGAGATTAAGATATTTCTAACCAATGGACAAATTTTCATTTCTCTGAGGTATATACGTTTTGAATTAAACTCCTGACTATTTTGGTCTGTGGTTAAGATGTATTAATACTGAAAGACAATAACTGGTCACAAGCAAGTTTTCAAAGGAATACAGTGGAATCATATTGTATTGCTCTACGTATGACAATAGACCGATCAATATTTCTGTATTTCCTTGTTTACTGATAATAAATATAAATAGTTCTGGGAGGAGAGGTCTGAAGCAGTGAATCAGAAGCATAGCCTATAGTATGAACTTAGTAGAAAGCAGGATGGGAAAACAGCAAAGAGTTGGGAGAGACTGGGACCAACTGCTTTATGCAGGGGTCTGGTCTGGAACCCAGTGTGGGTAGGACGTGGTTCCCCCATTAAAATCAACAAGAAGATTCATTAAGGCCTTGAGTAAATGAGCCACACTCAGTGACCAAAAGCTGCACTGCTTAACTAGGAAGACTGGCCTCCTGAGGCATTGGGCAATTTAGGAACTTTGATGTTGTGAAGACCAAGACTGTAATAGGGTTCAAGAAAAAGCTAGATAGATTCCTGGAGGTTAGGTCCATCAATACTGATTAGCCAGAATGGGTAGGAATGGTGTCCCTGGCCTCTGTTTCTCAAAGACTGGAAATGGTTGACAGGAAAGGGATCACTTGATGATTCCCTGTTTCTGTTCACTCCTTCTGGAGCATCTGGCGCTGGCCACTGTTGGAAGACAGAATACTGGCCTAGATGGACACTGGGTCAGGCCCAGTGTGGCCGTACTTAAGACTACCAACAGCCCAGCCAAAGGACAAAGTTGTGACAAAGAACCAGGAAGCAAGCTAGACAGTGAATGCTCCACCAGAGGCAGATGAAAAATAATGCACACTTGCTGAAGTCAAATTTTGTCTCGAGGAGCTGCTGAACACCAAAGGTGTCCATTTACACAGCTACATTTTCTATTCCTTAGCTCTCTACCTTAGTCATCTGTTAGGATACATCTACACAGCAGTGTTATTTCAGAATAATTGACGTTATTCTGAAATAACAAAGAGCGTGTCTACACTGCAAACCTTTATTTCGAAATAATGGCAAGCTGGAAGTCTACGTATTCTGACTCCTGTAACCCTCATTTCACGAGGAGTAAGGGAAGTTGAAGGAGGAAGCTGAAGCAGACTTCCTGCTGTACAGATGGCGCTAAAAGCCAAATTAAACTATTTCAAATTCAGCAACACAACTGACATAGCTGAAGTTGCGTAGCTTAATTCAAGTTTTATCCTGCTGTATAGATGTGCCCCTACAGTTCCTCTTGATTTGGAAACAGACACAGGTTGGCAACACCACTGGACACAGTGGAGCTCAGACTTTGCTTGCAGATGGAACCACCGCATGGACAGCAACAGTAATTTAGATCCAGAAAGAAAAGTATGGGCATTTTGATACTTTGGCGGCTCAGTAGGTAAAGAACTTTGTGCCATCCCTCAATACAACACGTTAGAAAGGGACACATACTGTTCCAGATTATTCAACCTATTCCAAATGGGAAGGAATTCATATTGTGCTGGTAGTCATGTGGTTCCCCTTTGCCAACAAAGGCATGGATATCATTAAGCCAGTTCCTCGGAACGAGGTTTGGTTTTAAGAGGCCACCATGCAACCTTGGCGCCACTGGAGTCTGTGACAAAGGAACCCAGTTGAGCTAGGATTTCACCCCACATACTTACCCAGTGCTTCTTTAGTATGAACGGTGGGTGAAGGCTGCACTTTGAATGGAGTTGCCTGCATCACTCCTCCCAGTGAGGTGTTTGGTGTGGCACTTCCAAAGCTGATAGAAGCATTTCCAACTCTAGATGCTAAAAGGAGAAGAATTTAAACAACTTTTGAAATGATCAAAGCAGATTCTAGAACCTGATTTCCCATGGTTTGGCGATAAGCACCAGCGTTCTAATACTGTTCAGTGCAACGGGAGCTACAGTTATAGTAATTCTACAAACACAGAAAGATTGCATTACAATGCATGTCAATCAGTCAAACTTGGCTCAAGTGCACATAGTGGCATGACATACAGCTGCAACATAAAATATCTATGCTAAATACTGGTAATTCCCAAGGAAGACGACTTGATTCACTGACACCGGAAGAGCTGCATAATATGCATTCCCAGACAGAATAAATAAGACACATGCAATGGGATCATTATTTTTTAAACTGCTTGGTAATTACCTTCTTTCATCTCTGTGCATGGATCTAATTTGAGACCAGGAGTGCTCACATTTGTGTGCCTTCAAAGGAAATGGTAAGAGTGTTAGCCTGAGAAGGGTTACAAAAAACCTTCTTTAAATTAATTCTAGTTTCATTTCAGACATTTCCAGTAATCTACTTCAGCTTTTCAAGCATCATCTCTCACAGCTTGTATCAAATAAGAGAGGCTTGTCTCTCCCAAAGGACACTTTCTGATCAATAAGAATTGTGGTTTATTGATAACCTGCTCCCAAGATAGTAACCTCCTCATGGTCACACTAAAACTGCAATTTCTTCAGGAAAGTTGCAGTCAAACAAATATATCCCCTAAATCAGTGGCTCTCAATCTTTCCAGACTACTGTGTCATTTCCAAGAGTCTGATTTGTCATGTGTATCACCAAGTTTCACCTCACTTAAAAACATACAAAATCAGACATAAAAATACAAAAGGTATCATAGCACAGTATTCAGAATGTTTACTCTCTCTTTTTACCATATAATTATAAAATAAATCAATTGGAATATAACTTTGTACTCACATTTTAGTCAGTGTATTGTATACAGTGCAGCAGGGGCGGATATAGGGCAGGGCGAACGGGGCGGCCGCCCCAAGCCCCGCGCATGCGCTGTGGCGCCGCTGCGCATGCGCCGTGGCAAAGGGGGGGCCCCACGGAATTATGCTGCCCGGGGCCCCGCAAAACGGTCATCTGCCCCTACAGTGACTCATAGACTTTAAGGTCAGAAGGGACCATTATGATCATCTATTCTGACCCCCTGCACAGTGCAGGCCACAGAATCTCAACCACCATTAAACTAACCACTGCCTTTGAAATTTTAATTTGTACTGACTTCACTAGTGCTTTTTATGTAGCCTGTTGAAAAACTTTTAGGCAATTATCTAGATGAGTTGATGTACCCCCCAGAAGATCTCCGCGTTCCTCACAGGTACATGTACCCCTGATTAAGAACCACTGCCCTAAGCTACAATACTGTTATGGGATGGACTCAGAAGGATAAATGTAAATAGGTGGTCTAAGCAAGTAATTTATATGCTGAAAACAACAGAAGTTGTAAGATTAACAAAACAATCAACATGGTGGGTTTAAGAAAGCCCAGAAAGACCTTCTCAATTTTCTGTTTTTTTAACTCCTTCATTGCAACCCATAGAGCGTATTTGAGTTAGGAACATTAAAATGTGTTTATTTATGTAAATGTGTAACTGCTGAAAAATTTCAGCGCTTACATGTTTACTTAAAAAACATCCCTAACTGAATAAGAGGCAGCCGCGCGTGGGGAGAGGATGGGCGATGCAGCTCCGTGGGAGCCAGTATGCGCAGGGAACTTCCAGCAGCTCCCCTTGGCTGGAAATGGCAAATCGCAGCCAATGGGTGCTGCAAGGCTCCGTGGCTGAAGAGCTTTAGAGTAAACAAAGCATTGTGGGCCCACCAGGGGCTCTGCCTCACGGGTCCATGACCCAAATTTGAAAACCCCTGATGTGGTCAAATTATAAAAAGTCTGATCATCATCTTCAGCAAGAATCAGAAAGCCCATTCTACTTACTGCTGTCCAATGGAGCGGCCATAACTGCAGGTGGAATGTTCCTGACTAGGCTGAGACACAGCATCACCACTCTTGAGCTCAAGTTGTAATAGACTGTTCCGGAGTTCTCCAAGATCTAGTTTAGCTTCGCCTGTGTCCTTTTCATACGCTGCCATCGATAGTGAGGCTGACACAGACAGGTGGTTAGCAGCTTCAACAGGCCGTGGTACAAAAGTACCTGCTGTTGAAGTACTTGCTACAGCCCTTGATTGCAGCTGGAATGGCCTTAGGCACCATGAGGTTTGCAGATTTGTCGTCTGAGACGGTGCTGTACACGCTGGCTGTAGAGCAGTATTTGGTTTCACACATGGCTCAACCTTTGCAAGAAGAAACATACAGGCAAACCATTGCTAAACTGCTCTTGTCACCATCCAGAAGCAAAAAGGGAATCAGTCTTACCACACAATAGTAACTTTCAAATGTACCTAAACATAAACCCTTGGTGGTCTAAGTAGATTTTTGGTTAAATAGTCACAAAGATGAAGCCATGCCAGACAAATACAAAAACAGGAAAACAGGTGCAAGCTGAACTACTCTGGCACTCTCTGGTCTGGCAACATCCACAATCTGGAATTATTTTAGTTAGCTGGATATCCACTTATCATGAGTGTGGCCAAGTTGCCTGTGGTCCCATGAAGTTTGTTTACATCCACTAGTCCTTGATCTCAGTGTTCTGTGCTTTTATTTTGCTCTAATATACCCCCAACTGTCTTGTCGGAGCCCAGCAAGCAGCAGAGGTATTGATAATGCTCCTAGACAATATTTGACCTCCTATGGCTTGGCAAATTCTCTGGTTCGGCACCAGTCAGGTTCCAAAGATGCTGTACTAGAGAGGTTCAACCTGCACTTCAGTGGACTTCCCGCTGGCCCTGGGCTGCAGGTGGAGTTCCACATTCCTCCTTTGAAATGTACAAGAGCCCCCACTGGGGCTCTTGTACATTTCAAAGGAGGAATGTGGAACTCCACCTGCAGCCCAGGGCCAGCGGGAAGTCCCGCTGACTCTAGGCTGCACATGGGCATGTCTGCTTTGAAATTTACAAGCTCCAGTGGGGGCTCTTGTGCATTTCAAAGCCACAGGACCCTCATGGATCCAGGGGTCAGCAGGGGACTCAGAGTCCTCTGCTGACCCCGGGCTCCATGTTGCGCTGCATGTTGCCCCCACTTCTGCGTTTCAAAGGGGCAGCACCACACAGCTCATCCCAGGCTCAGCTGTGCAGTGCTGCTGGCGAGATAAGGGGGGAAAATCAACTAGTCGACTGACTATCCGGTAAGCATTTTCTTATCGGACAGTCAACTAGTCCTTAACATCCTTACAGTGAATCTTGATTTTCAAGTTAAACTAGAGAGACACGTGGAATAAAGAATGAGTCCATCATAGCAAGAAAATTAAACTTTACTACTAGATACAAATGTGCTGCTGCTATTATATGCTTACCATTGTTCTATCTGGAACAAACTGTAGCATGGATGCCTCTTCCAGCTTAGTTTCTGGAAAGCCTTTGGCCAGGTGACTCAGCTGTTCTAGCTTCTGCTGCAAAAGTTGCATTTCAAGGATGGCAGATTCTTTTCTCTTTGCATAGTCCCACTCTTCTTTTTCTGAAGGCAGTCAGAACAGAATAAGCAAAACAGGCAATTAACGTCCATTTAGGCTTTTCTCTCCCTACTTCAGAGATGAGATACTTTAAACAAAATGCACATATGTAAAAAGCCATTACAATTTATGTTGCTACAAGCAAATAACGTATTGAAGACTAAATTAATCAGGAAACAGAAGAAAACCATACAGACACATACATCAGCTTCTCACTCACCAGACCTACTACAAGTTTGTCAACCAGTGTCACAAAACTCTACCTTCCCAGGGTAAATGTTCATAGTGGATGACTGTTTCCTTGTCTGTGGTTTTATTTAAGTCATTTCCCTTTTGAGGTTCTCTATTTCTCTAAAATTGATTTGTGAACTATATTTGTTGCAGTTTTAGAGTCGTTTGTTTGCTAGGCAAAGGTACAGTACACTTGTTTGGTTTGCATAGCAGAAGGAATTAAGCATGCCACTGCTAGACCACAGAGGGATGGACTGCTCTTGGCCTCTCAAGTACCATTCCTTCCACCCATCGGGAAGAAGGGAGAGAGTGAACTGCATTACATTGGAAAGACTGGATTTGAGAAGACTGATTGGACACTGCCACTGAAGTCAGTTTAAGGAACCCTGGGTTTTACCCTTGTCCCATGCTCTTACTCTCTTATCTTGAAGGCAATGTCTCACGTCACAGAATTCATTTGACACAGTCACTGACATTTACATGGTTCCCATGAATGTTTTTTCTACTCTTTGAGCAGGCGAAGGGATGCCAGATTTGGCTGAGGGAGTGTGTGCAGACAGCGACAAAGTTACTTTAACCCACAAGTTTTCCTTGGCGATACAGACAAGGACATTTCTGAAGGGAAGTAGATAGAGTACCCCATTCTTTTTGTCGTCTCAATCTTTCTTGTTTTCTGTAAACAATCTTCGCTCTCACTTCCTCAAAAGAAAGCTCTGAGCCTTCACATATGAGCATATTTCTATTGTACATTGCCACTTGCTCAAATTCACTGGAGGTTGAAGATGGCTTTGGAATAACTGCTGACTTGGAAATGTATGTAAGATACTCTCTGTGGAGAGAAGTGTGAAAGATGCATTCAAGTTCACCGTGAAGCACTCTGATTATTTTTTAAAGCACACTTGTCTAGCACAACTGAGTGTGTATAAGTGCTACTTACACTTTTCCTGCTTCATTCTGAGATGACTGAGCTGCAGAAAGCATTGGATCCTAAAAGATGGAAAGAAGCTTTGAGACCCTAGTCTTAAAGTGTCCACCTATTTTGTTCAGCCATGAGTCCAGGATATCTACACAGCTATGCAATTACCACAAATAGTAAAACAAAGTGCATTTGCAATTTATATTGGACAAAACAAATCTTACCAGAAGAATGTTTACAAATGACACCAGTAATTTAGAAACATATTTTACAATTGTGCACTTGGTCCAGCTTTTATCCTTGTTAGCCATACAATGATTCTCACATCAACGGCAGAAATGCAATTTTAGCAAGAGATTCGGACACACCAAGCAGCAGCTCTAGAATGAAGTATCATGTGTGCATTTGCCAAACTCTCTGCCTTGGGTTTTTGGGTGCATACATAATGCAAGACTAGACCTCATGTTTGAAAATACTTCAGTACTAATGCTTGTCAGTGAGTAAACTAGCCCAATAGTCCAAAAGGAAAACAATAAGATTTTTTTCCCCACTGTTGAACACTTTGTGGGTGCCCAGAAGAAAAAATCTGAAAGATATAAGATATATTGATCTCCCCACCTTCCCAAGCTACAAATTTTGATGAATCTGAGCTAGTTGAAGAGCCACAACAGACATAGCTAGAGCTATGAAATTAGCCATGTTATTAAAGCAATACCAGTTAATAAGAGTTTCATTCCATCAATTAATGGCTAGCATAAGACCTAGAAAATAGACTCAAGGGCTGCTCCTCTCCCCAGACCCTCAAGTCTGATTAGTAACTTTAGTTTAAAGTGAAGGAGTTGTGCGGGCAGAAGCCTACTCAGTCCCTTTTCCTCAATCCTTTACTCTCAGATCTTACTCTTGTATTTGGTTTCTCTCACCGCCCCAGTGGGGTAGCATGATGGCTTCCTCATCCAGTCTGGACAGTGGAAAGGCACATGGGTCTGACAGAGCAGAGGATGGCCACAGCACCAGCTCCTCCTACATTCAGGATTCTACATCACACCACCGCCCTTCCAGCTAGCCGGGATCCCTTTTAGAACCAGTCCACTCTGCACCCCTGATACAGGAAGGTTACCAAGTGATGTGAGATGACTGACCGCACTACCACTGTTCCTTCGTGGGGAGAAAGGATTCCCCCTCGGCCCATGCAAGCTATACTGGCCTGCAGAGATTTACCAATTGTGTTGCAAAATGTAGTCTCCTTTTCAATTCCAGTGCTATACACAACCACCACACTATGCTGCAGCAGCCATTTACAGTGATGCGCTCAACACTAAGTAGCCCCTGGCTTACTTCCATCTACAGTGAAAAGCTGCCTTTGACCATGTTCCCATGCTGAGCCATTGGTGTAGCATGATCGAGCTGAATGACATCTCCAATTTACATGCAAATCTAGGGGTTTCTTTTTTGGGGACAGAGTGCAGTATAAAAAAAATAAATAAAAGGAGCAATCAAGGATGATAAAGCCATTGCAGAGAAACTAAATGATTTCTTTGCAACTGTAGGGTAAACTGAGGCAGCCCTAAATGTGCTAGTAGGCCTCTAAACAGCATGACTCCATTCTGGGATCAAGCCTGGGAACACCACAGTCAGGATAAGAGCTGCAGGCAGTAAAAGACCCTGAGCACCATAGCAACCACGTTCTAAAACACTTGGACAGGGTCCCAGTTGGTAACGTAACACATTTTGCGTAAGATAACATTCATAAAATTTGCTTAAACTGTCTTGCTTCACTCCTAGATAATAAGCCTGAGAACCAAGCGCTACACCAACTCAAGACCATACCCGCCTGCTATAGAAACATCATTATCTATACAGACTAAAATGTTATTACTGTTTTGCTGACATGTTTTGGCATTTGAACAATAACCACCTGTATATATATTAATGAGTTGTTACTTTGCAATGGGCGGAGATATTATGTAATCTTTAGTAGTTCTATTGGCTTATGTGCTCATTTCGTCTTGCTGCTAGACCTATCAAATCATTTTTCCTCCGTCCACCTGCTGACTATATAACCTATTGTATTGTGTTAATTAACCAGTGTTCACCAGGGTAACTCCTGCGTGTCACTCCATCAGCTGGTGTATAATAAATGCTCCACTTGTTTTCACCTGCATCCAGAGTGTCCTGGATTATTTCCAACAAATTGGGGGCTCGTCCGGGATCCAGGCTTGTGAGCTGATCGGGAGCTGGAGACTAAAACCCAAGAGAGGTGAGTATATTTAATTTACCACCTCATTAGGTCTAGGGGTTGATGTCTCTGGTTTCCTTCAGACACATCCTGGTTCCGTTCCCATTTAAGGCACGAGATACCTGGATGAGGGTGAACCAAGCCTATGAGGCAGGCCTGAAAGAGGGGGGGAGGAACATCTAGGGGACAAGCACAAGAGGGTTGTGTACTGTTAGAACTAAGGGGCTCGTTACGGAGAGACTGGATAAATCACCAAGGAGTGATTGAGCCGTACGTTAAGCTCGGGATTGGATTGGCCGAGTACGCAATGCGGCAGGCAGCACGAACTAGTGACCCATTCTCTCATTGCACGTAACAGTGTAAGACCTGGCGGACGCCCCCCAACAGGCACTTAACGTACACACTCTCGCATAGTGCAAATCCCCGCCAGCAATTGGGAAGGTACCAAGAGGTGCTACAAGGTGCAAAGGCCGTACGGTATAAGCCACACACAGAATCTCGGGGGTAAAAGCTGATTCCTAAGAGTGCGTCTGAAAGACGTAGCTAAAGAGGGACAGCTAAGCCGTGTGTGGAATCCCCGAGGAGGTACCAGTAAAGCAGGGAGGAAAACGGCGCACAACCTCCAAAGCCCAGCCGGTTCGAGAGCAAGGTGCCCGAACCCGAGCTGGAAGATAAGCCCAGCCGGTTCGAGAGCAAGGTGCCCGAACTCGAGCTGGAAGATAAGCCCAGCCGGTTCGAGAGCGAGGTGCCCGAGCCCAAGCTGGAAGATAAACCCAGCTGGATTGGGAGCCAAGGCACCCGAGTCCGGGCTGGAAGAGAAAGAACCCAGCACCTGTCCGGAGGGACTGGGAAGGTTTGGAAGTGAGCTGTAATCGTTACAGCTGGAAAGTGTGACCCGCTGAACCTCTGCGTTCTCCGGACCGAGTGTTGTGTGTTTGTATGTCAGACCCTGTCATTATTTGTTAGGGATTAGGATTGCCAGCAACCAATGACTGAATACACCAATCTGTAGGCTGTTTTTAATAACTACTGGCATTTGGAGCAATCCCAGGGAGTGCTCCTTTTCCTGCTAAGAATAATCCTATTCCTCCTACTGATAGTATGTTAAAGACCACGTTTATAATCACTCATCTGAATGAATGCAAATGAATGTATGAGGTGTGAATGCCACTGACAAGGTCTTAAATGCAAGGGGGGGGTCAGCCGAACCTTGAGACCAAGCGGATATGTGAGGGAGTGACGACTCCCCTTATTTCATAAGCTGCTGATAAGGTCTGACATTCTAGACCCAGCAGACCCCTTCTTTGGAGTGTGTAGATTGTTTCCTATAAGCCACTGAACGAACAAGGAGTGGACAGGATACTCCCCTGAATGACTAAAATAAATGGGGATCAGTCTAATCATACCCCCACACCGCAGAAAGGCACCCCTGTGTACTACATGTACGTGTATCATGGTCCAAGGACCTGTGAGCATATAACAGATTGACAGAAAAGAAATTAAAGCCCTGAGGGATGACATTGAAGCTCAGAAAAGCAAAAAGAAATCCTCCCCATGGTAAGAAATGTAACTTACAAGCAGCAGTGCCTCTGTGCCAAAAGAATGCACGAGGAGTGAGAGGAAAGGATTTCTCAGCTAGCGCACCCATATCAACTGTGCCGCCTCTCCCAAGCTTAGAGGGGGAATTTGGCACATTACCCCTTTACTCCTCTCTATGCCCAGACCCATATGAGCTATACATCGTTATAGCTAGAGAGCAGGCATGAAAGATAACTAAAAAGGATCAGCTCTTCCCAATGAAAAAACGGGCTCTAGTAACAACTTTGCCCGATCCAAAGCAAATAAACTTAACAGCTGATGGGAAGTATTCCTTCAAATTCTCAAGGAAAGAATGCCTGCCGACCATCAAGCCATATTGACCCTAGGCATTTTGGTTAAAAACATATACACAGGACACAACGCAGGAGCAGAAAAGGGCTGCCAAGAAACTTCAGGAGATTCTCAAGCCTTTGTTAGCAAATAGATAACTACAGCCTCTCCGGCTAGAATTGTAGGCAACCCAAGGATGTTTCACAACGGACGAGTGGGGGCCATCCAGAAAAAAACAAAACAAAAAAAAAAACCCAACCCCCCCCCCAAAAAAACAGTTAAAACCCTTCCCTCACACACTGTTACAATTGGCTTGAGGGCGTGGGAGGAAGTAACCTAAAAGCCACCCTAAAGTCAACCGGTAGAAATTAAATTTAAAGATGTAATCACTAGAAGCTAAATCTGCCCTAACAAGGAGACACATTCTGCAACATAAATCTCCTTAGAGAGCATGGGCAAGTGATCCACCCCAGAATTAGCAGCATAGATCAACTGCTGCAGCATCGATGTTATGAAAACCCTATACTGAGAAGTTTAAAATTAATACTAGCTGATTGCAATAATACACATTTGGATTTACATATTGAACAAAATAAAGAGATGTGGGGCTAATTGGAAAGCCCACTCTCCTTGACAAATTAATATTGGATAAACTTGTGTAATTGAGAAAAGTCATTTAGCAGGAATCAGGATAGACCATAAGAAAGAAAAAAAGCATGTGAAAGGGGAAGGCAAAAAGTTTGGAGTCCTATGGGCGTAGTAGAAGGAAAATAAGGAATTCGATTGACACTTAACTGGTTAACTGTATAAAAGAATGAAATCTATACATCAATCCTTAAGGTTAAATTTACTCTTTAAGAAAACAAACCATTGTTTTAAGAATCCAAGCCCTGAAACTTCACTGTCTCTCTGTTCAAGGCTGAGTTGATAGCACTTTTGGCTTGCTTTTAAATCCAAGGTTGTGTG